GCAGCAGTGGGAGGAACAGGGGCAGGGAGAGCGGGAGGGAGAACAGGACCCAGGTGTGCCATCACTTCCCGGATGGTGGCACACATGTTTTCGCCCTACTGCACAAGCTGGTCCTACATGCAATTGCGCCACTCGGCATCATCACAGATCTTTTGGGCCAGGGTCTGGTGCATGTCTCACAGGACTGCAATGGGCTCTCACATGAGGTCCTGTTGGACCCTCCAGTGCTTGCAGCTCCCCCGGCTTTGGTCGGCTGCCAGTGATGGTGTGGATCGCCCCTAAGCGACAGCTGGTCCAGCTGTGGAGGACAAGAGGGAGAGGTGGTCATTCATCCATGCAGACACTGTGACAGGGGACAGTGATGTCCTGAGAGCAGCACGCCTGGCCTCACAGGAGCTCCAAGGTGCCCAGGGGACCATCCTGCCTGCTCCCCCACTTGGACAAACAGGCCAGGGAAGTGTCTGGCCACAGTGGGTTCCCATGGACAGGAGAGGAGCCAGGAGCATCCTGGCCCTCCTGGGGCCCAAACACACACACCTGCACCTGGCAGTGCTGTCTGTGGGAGTGGGTGGTGCCTCTCATGTGCAGGCATGGCTATATGCTATGTGCCAACTCCTCGGTCTGTGTGGGGTCGTGCATGCACCCTTGTGCCCAAGCTGCTTCCGGCAGTGGCTGGAGGGGGGGAAGACATCCCTCCTAGGGGTCAGACATGTGTGGGGCTTCCCCCCAGCTTGTGAGCAGCAGCCCATGTGTGTTCCAGGGTTGGCTCCTGAGACCATGTGGTGAACACTGCCACTGCATGTGATTGCACGTGCACAGACAGCTACACGTCCAGGCCGAGCATACTGAGCAAGGATCGTGCCCCATCCTCTGTGCGCCCGCCCTGTGTGTGTGACAAACTGAGAGCACTCCCCTGGTGATTCCTACCCAGTGTCAGATGATGCCTGAGAGATCTCTAGGGCCTGGTGTACCGGCTCCAGGCTGAGGGTGATGCTGCTGCCAGTGTTCTCCTCCTCCTGCAGCTGTTGGTCATAGTACTCCTCCTCCTCCTCCTCCAAGAGCTCCAGCCTGGTGAGCACTGGTATCACCATGCCCGAGTCCACCAGTACGGGTGGGGAAAGGGCTTCACCACCACCCAGGATCTGGTGCAGCTCCCTATAGTACGGGCAGGAGTGGGGTCCTGCCCTGGAGCGAGAGCTGCACTCTCTGGCCTGGGCATACCCTTGCTGGAGCGTCTTGACATTGCTCCAGACTTGGTCATGGGTGTGGGGGTGGTGTCCCCTCTGGGCCAGACCTTCAGCCATGCACCCATAAAGGTCCACATTTCTGCACTTGGAGCTGAGATCCTTCAAGGCCTCCTCCTCCCCCCACAGCTCCAGAAGGGACAGGATCTCTGGCTTGGTCCAGGATGGTACCAAGCATTTGGTACCTCTGGGTGAGTCCTAGAACCCCTGGGGCTACTCCCTGGAAGGGCCAGGGGAGTCTCGGGGGGCGTGTGGCTGTGCCATCAGTCAGCAGTCCTGTGGCAGGGAGAGCCGTGCGGTCAGGGTGCTGCTCCAGGGCCAGCTTCCTGCCACAAGGCTTGTGGATGGGGGCTGCCTAAGAGCTGGCAGGAGACAGGAACTATAGAGCTGTGATTAGTTTGGACAGAGTGTCCATCGGGGCACCTGTGCTTTTTCCTGGAGGCCTCTTTTTTTGAAAGAACTCCCTCTTCCACATCCACACACACCCTTTTTCGAAAGAGCTCTTTCAGATAAGGTATTCTTCCTTGTAGAATGAGGTTTACCAATGTTGGAAAAACCCGTTTTCTTTCAATTTTCTTTCGAAAGAATGTGATTGCAGTGTGGACGTAGGTGAAGTGTGGTGGGTTCTTTTTGCTTGTTTGTTTTTTCCGAAAAAACCCTGCAGTCTAGATGCACCCTTAATGTTTATAAATATAGTAGAACCTCAGAGTTATGAACACAGAAAGAAGCTAGGGCGATCAACTGGTTATCTAAGGTGTTTGTACACAAATGCGAGAAACCTGGGACACAATTAGAATTAGAAGCCTTGGCCCAGTCAAAGAACTATGATTTGATTGGAATAACTGAGACTTGGTGGGATGACTCGCATGACTGGAGCACTGTCATGGAAGGGTATAAATTGTTCAAGAAGAACAGGCGGAGGAGAAAAGGAGGAGGAGTTGCACTGTATGTAAGAGAGCAGTATGATTGCTCAGAGCTCCAGTATTTAGAGGGAGAAAACACTGTTGAGAGTCTATGGGTTTAGAGGTGGAAGCAACAGGGGTGATGTTATGGTTAGTGTCTGCTGTTGAACACTGGATCAGGTGGATGAGGTAGACGAGGCTTTCTTTGGACAACTGAGAAAAGTTTCCAAATTGCAGGCCCAGGTTCTCATGGGTGACTTTAATCACCCTGACATCT